AAAAAACACAAATATAAAAAAAAAAAAAAAAAAAAAAAAAAAAACTGCCATCCTCCTAGAACACTGGCAAAATAAAAAAAATAAGCCATGCTGGTTGTGCGAGAGGTTATCTTTGGATGACCTACATTTTTTTTTCTTTTTTTGCTAGGGATCAATCCTTCTGAAGGCATAAGTATAACCCGAAGGTTTAAGCACTTTCCATTTTCGACATTTGAAGGCTTCTTTTATATATAAAAATTATGGTTTTTCCTGCTGCTTATGCCAAGTGTAGGAAGTTACCACTTAGTGTAGAACTTTACTTGTCAGAATGGCCGGGTCTTAGTGGCTGCTGCACATATATTCAGGAACCTCTAGATCAGTGATTCTCAACCCATGTAACCTCAGGGCCCGCATTTGTCCTTTGTCATAAAGACGTGATCCAAGTTGCACTGCATTGTGGTACCTCGCGTTCCGGTGCGGGCGATCAAACTGTGGGTGGGAGGTGCGTTTGGGGGTACCATTCAAATGAATGGCAATGCAACACACTTCCCACAACAGCACGCGTAGTGGGGGCGATTATGTGCCTGTGCATTTAGTGTGAATGGGCCCTCAAAAACACTGACATACAAATTTTGTTTTTTTAGATCCTCCCAGTCTCCTTGCCTTACGAGAACTGGAGTGGATCCTCAGCCGGGGTCCAGTATGGGCTTCTGTGCTGTGACAGAGTTCCATCCATATGTTCATTGCTTGGACAGCTCCCTTGCACGCCTTGTAGAGGTGACGGGAGCCAGAATGTGACATCACTGTGGTCCAGGTATCTCTACAGGACACATTAGGGAGCTGTAAGCAATGCACGTATGGATGGAGCTCCTTCGCGGCCCTAGCCCCATCCAAACCCACCTCAAGCTGACACTCAACTCTGGGCAGCATATTCAAATGGCTGCTTGGTGTGAGAACTGACAGTGCTGCTCTAGGGGGAGGCTGAAGCGACCCACTGAACACGGGGTCGCGACCCACTTTTGGGTCACGACCCACCAGTTGAGAACCAAGGCTTTAGATGTGTACACTTTATTACTGCAAAGCATTTTTTCCAAATGACAGAGCATTTGGAAGCACAGAAGAATTAAGCATTGTTTTCTCAATCTGTCCCTATGTGCCACCAGCAGTTCATGTTAAAAGTTGTAATGTTTATGTATTCTTCTAAAAGTCCTAAGAGACACCCAAGTGCATTCTTGCAAACTATAGGAGTTTTCACATTCTTTTTAGTCAATTGCAGTTCCTTTCTTGACAATTTCCCTTGTATTTTTGCTAAGAGTCTTTCTTATCGCTGAGCCACAAACGCAGACCTGAGATGTGGCAAAAAAGGCCTTCAAACCTACAGACATTTCTCAGAAGTTTTTCACAAAGACCATTTTAGAAAAAGAAATTCCTGGTGACATGCTTAGTACAAAAAAAAAAATCTTGTTGAGTAAGTAATAATATACAAATATCATGCCAGTACCTTAGATGCAAGCTTTTGTGCATTTTCGTTGTGAGATGCTCCATCGAAGTTGTCTACTGACAGAGAATTGACATAAAGCTGAAAATCAGGTGAGTCTCTGGAGATGAAGAAAAAAAAAAAGGAAATTGTCAGTCTTTAAATTTACTGAATATTATGGTAGCTTTAATGTTAAATAATGCTTTCATTGAATATGAAATGCACAATCCCCTGTGTTTCTTAAGAGCTACATCATTTATTTAACCACTGCTATATTGTAAAATAAAAATGCTGGGGATGTTGACCTCTATTTCTGGAGTGATGTTTTAATTTAAAGGAAAGTTTTTTTTCCTCAAAAATTGTTGGTATTTTTTCCTTTCTGCAGTAAAAAATAAAAAACCCAGCAGTTAAGTACCACCAAAAGAAGGCTCCATCTTTCTAAAAAAATTGTTACAAAATTCATTTTGGGTAGAGCGTTGCATGAATAATTGTCAGTCAAACTATCACAGCATTAAAAACCGAAAAAAATGGACTGGTAGTGAAGGGGTATCTACAGGTCGGTGCTCAAGTTGTTAAAAAAACAAAACAAAACACAATTCAGGGATCACAAGACAAATTGCAGCTCACGTGACCCCTTCACTACCAGTCCATTTTTCTATACATTATTGTTGCACTGTGAGGGTCTTTGCTGCCTTTAAAATAGGTGGCCAAAGAAACCTTTAATATTTATATTCTAAAAGCAGTCCTCTAAGAATTTATTTCTAAAACTGCAAAATATTAATTGCTTGTTGCATATGATGTCTTCAACATCCACTGCTTGCGGGTATGTTAGACACTGATGTCTCCCTGCTGCATGCTGTAGTTCCACCTGCTGGTCTTGTCACTATGGGGATCCTGCAGAGCCACACTATTGACGTAGCGGCCAGCTGGTGCAGTCACACAGCACAGCATGGGGTTGTAGGCATCTGAAATACCAGCAAGTGTTGGATGTTGAAGGTTTTTAGGAGGATGTAGCTCGAAAAAAGACTGAAGAAGTTTTGTTTTTGTTTTTTTGCAACAGATTTGCTTTAACATACACCTCAATAACTCCAAACTGAGGGGGAAAAAAAAAGTACTATTAATGATTAAAATCAAGCCACCAGTACATTATTAGGAAAGGTGAATTAAAATGATCTGCATTTTATATAAATGGGGTAGATAAATACACCACGTTCTATTCAGTGAGATAAGCCAGGTAAAAAGAAGAAAAAATAAATAATGTCTTACTGTTTTCTGTGGACTGGAATTGCATGAATACATGGGATCAATTTTTCTGCTGGCAACCCTAGAACTTGAGAAACCTGTAAAAAAAATAATTATTATTTATGGCAGTACCACAATTATCTTTCTGAAACTATTATTTTATTGCAGGTTGTGAGAACAAAGCAAAACCCTCATTTGACATAATTTTTTGTAAAGTGAAACTAAACTCAGGAGTTATATCTTAAAAATGCATTCAAGTACCTTACCCATTAAGAACAGTGCATCTTATTTGTGTATCCTTCGGCTTTAGATCATCAAATCATCTCTGAATTGGTGCTGACACTGTCCTTCCTTCTGGAGGGTGGCTACTTATGTTCCCCATGGTCCCTGTGTGTGTTGTTAAGTAGCCACCGCTCCAAGCTCACTCCCATGATGGACTACAATCTCATGTTTAGTTTTTAGTAAGTAGCCACCCTCCAGAAGAAAGGACAGTGTCAGCACCAATTCAGAGATGATTTGAGGATCTACAGCCCAGTGATACACAAAAAGGATACATTTTTGTTAATAGGGTACTTGAATGCATTTACGATTTAACTTAGTGTCACTTTAAATGTTATTTCCATATATAGTATGCGACACCCTTCAGTGCCCATTGCCTGCATTGAAAATCCTAATACTTCTAAGTAGAGGGCAAAACTACAGATTTGCCTTAGCCTTCCACAATGTAGCAAGCAGTGTGCAGTCACAGGGGCTGGGAGACCAATGGTCAGGACAGAAAGTTGTCATGTGGGGTAGGGAAAGTATCTACAATTGCACAACATAGACTTTCAGAAAAAAGTAGATTTTTCCACAGGATTTTTGCAGGCAAATGTTTTCGGGTGCTGCACTTTAAATTAATTTCTCAACTATGAAAATAATTGTGCCCTAACCATGTAAGTGCCATAGACTTGTAAACTCTTATGTGCATGGCTCCCACTCCTACTGTATCCTGTTATTGAAGTATATGTTTTGCTAAACACTAAGGGCCCTTTGAGATGTGTAGATTGCAGCAACCCAAAGAATTAAGCATTCACCTACGCAACACACCATAACTCATAGCTATGACCCATCTATGTACAGCATCCTACAGACCTATCTGTGGGATGCTGTACACTGCATTTTAAACAATGGTGCATGCTTGTTAAAACATACATTGCAGTGTGTTGGCAGCCAACTCAGGCTGGATCCACTTTGTGACAACGTCTGTTACAGGAACCCATGTTAATGTTTGTTATTGTGCCACGGATGGCACCCTATTGCACACATACAGAAGCTACCAACACAGTAGTGCACCACAACATACATAGCATGCACTGTGGTGTGCTGCCTTGTTGAGAATGGCGCCGTTACAGTTTTTCATGCATTGAGGTGCGCTGACATCCCAAATGAATGAGCTGCTTTAACGCATCTGACCTCAATGCACCTAAACTAACACATGCACAAGTGTAAAGGGGCCTTGGAAATGAATGGTCTGCCATAACGCAATGCCAGTATGCCCAGCAACAGTTTGAATTGGCTAGATCCACACCTTTGCCTAGCAAATCAAGTACGTCTATTTATTAACGTACATGTTGCATAGCAAAATACACTCTGCAACGTTTCGGGGTCACACAGGATTCCCTTCATCAGGCAAACAAGTGTTGCAAATGCAAGTGAAAAAAATCATGAATATATACACACCAGCAAGTGACTATAGACCTACCCCAATCTATAGTCACTTACTGGTGTCTATATATTCATGCCATCCATCGACAACCGTGCACCCACTTCTGATTGATGGAACAGCGGTTCTGAGTGCAATGGGTATAGTGGCTGTATCTTGATGTGTGATATGACATGTTAACAGTCAATACATTGGACGATAAAAACGTTCAACGACACACGTTTTTCAATGGAAAACTGATCTGTTTTTTTTTTTTTTTTCACCTGATCAGAAGCCTTTCTACATACTGACTGGTTTTGCTTACCCCTTCATTGTACCTGAGATCTAGTACAGCACCACTGACAATGATGGTGCTACAATAAGAACATGCAGCTGGCACTCTTACTGTTGCAACCAGAAACATTTTCGGTCAAAATAACAAAGACTGGCAGAAGGAAAAACTGCTCTTGTTGCCCATAGCAACCAACCACATCGTCTCAGGTCCTCCTGAAAAATGACACCTGGAATCTGACTGGTCGACATGGGCAACAAGAGCAGGAATTCCTTCCCCCAGTCAATGTATATGTGGATGCATTAGTTTCTGCAGGACAGTAAACACAGGAGGAAGGACACATCTCCTACCTGCTCTGCTATTGCCCTCCTGAAGAGACAAGCCATGCCCCCCTTGTCCGGTGTGCGCTGTATGACCCAGTGTCAGGATCTCACTAGAGAAGACAAGCATCAGGTCACTGAGCACGCAGGTGAACGAAGGACAAGTAGGAAGCGGCACGTGGGAAGCCAGTGACCCGCACAGCCCCTCCCCCGGAAGACGCTCTCCGCCAATCGCAGCCTCCCTCTCCGCTCTGACCTCTCCGGAGGGAAGTGTGACAGTGTGGCGGGCGGTGAGTGTTTATAGTGCTCTGTGTGTGATGGAACTGCTATGTCTATGGACTGGACACAGTGTTGTGTGGACGTGCCCCGGGAGATAGATTCTGTGTGCTAGTGTATGAAGACTTGACTGACAAACTTTCCAGAATGCGGCGGGTTTCTTATTGTATGCCCGTAGAGGTGGCACAATCACCCAAGGAAGGGGGCATTGCAATGGGCACCCTTACTATAGAAAATGCTGTACTGTCCGAGGCTGCTCACATGCTAAATAAAGACTTTTGAGTACTACTCATGTGTTAAATAAGGGCTGCTTGCCTGTGTGCATTGTGTGACATCAGTGTTCAAAATGTATGAACTTTATTCCTTATAATAATTGTTCAGCTGCTTCTCCATAGGGTTCATTGAACAGACATTAAGCCCCCATTCACACTAGCGCAACAGCGTTTCAGGGTGTATTAATGGCATATACTGTTTATATGTCAGTGTGTTTTTGAAGCTCGTTTTCAGTTGTCCAATGAGAAGCAGGCTCAGCTGCTGAAACATGCATAAAAAATGTGCAGAATCACGCAAAAACAAGATAATCAGCGTGTTTACATTGAATTCAATGGAGCAAAACGAGCTGATCAGAGCGACAAAAGAAGCTGGGACTATTTCAAGCGACAGGCATATTTGTACGTGTATTTGTATGCGCTACAGCGCGGAGAGATCCGCGTAACAAAACCGCCCTGGTGCGAACGAGGTCTAAATAGAGGACAGGGCAGCTAAACCACAAGTACAAAAATAAAATGTGCACGTAGACATACTTTTATGACTGACTTCCTGAAAAAGCTAAAAACTGCTCTGGTGAAGCTGTGAGTTGTTTTTGTTGTGAACAAAGTATTCATGTTTGTTGTGAATAAAGTACTCATGTTTGTTTTAAATAAAGTATTCACGTTTGCGCTATCTTTTTAGGTGTCTGAAACATGACCACATCATCGGTTTCCAAGGTAAGTTGAAATGTTAAATGTACTATTGCCACGTTTTTATAAAAAAACATATTTGCTTTTGTGGAATTTTGTTAACTATTTTAACCTTGACTGCAGAAGTTGTAAAGTTTTTTACAACTAGACCCCCAAGGGGTTGCCCAGTATGTCCCCATCCACCATACTTGCTGGTCCTATTAGGTACCAATGTGATTTAAGTAAAATGTAAATTGCTTGGTTTTACTTTCCATATGGATAGCATATGTATGTTTGTAGAGCACTACATATTAATAATCCTATACGTCTTGCAAAAGCAGAATACAGGAAATGTTTTTCGTTTTCCATGTCGTTATGGGCTGATATAGATATTGCATATTACAAATAATTAGGGATGTTCAGATACCAAGTACCATACGTGGTACAAGTACTGATACGTTTCCAGCTCCAGGACTAGACTAGAGAAAAATTCAAAAGTTAGGACGCAGCTGTCATTTTTAAGGCGCATTGGCTACTGGGCTTCTGGGATTTGTGCATCCCTGTTTTAATGTATGATTTTTATTTTATAAATGTGTATATATATATATATAAGGGAAGCACCGATACCATTTTTTCAAGTACAAGTATGGATACCTGTCCAAGTACTCACAGACACAAGTACTGATACATTTTTGTTTATTGTCATGTGACAGTTTTTCTAAAACAATACAGACTAATGATTTCAGGACAGTGGTGGAGCGCCAGAGCCAGGTCCCAGCTGCAACCTCTGCAACTCTGAAAGTTCTTGTAAAAATGCCAAGTCTTGGCACTGGTATCTGAACATCCCTACAAATAGTAATATAGAAGGTTCAGTAGTTTAGGTGGGAGGAGTGATAAATAGCGGTGCTGCCTTAATAGTAAAAAAAAAACTGGATCTTAGAATTCTGCATGGCGACTGCCATATTGGAAGACTGCCATAGTAATGGAGGCGGTGGGCAGGTTTATAATAACATCTCAATGTTTGGCTTCCCTGTTCTCAGCACAAAAGTATGTGCCTCCTATGTAGAAGCAGGGGTGTGGAATTCCCATCGCCTGACGCCCGGGATCATGCAGTTTCGGTGCGCCTGGCGAGTAGTTTTTTTTTACATTTAGCCCTGCTTCGGACAAGCAGAGCTAAATGTACAGCGTGTGGCCGCCGCTCGTTTTTATACAAGTGATCTAATTAGATCACTTGTATGAAAGGATTGGCGGCTATTGTGTCCGGTCACCGCCGCCGTGACCACGGCACACGAGCTCACCATAGAGCCCGAAGAATGGACGTTCTTCGTCTGCTCTGTGTAATCACTGAGACCGTGGCGCTGTAATCACAGCGCCACCTGCCTCAGCCGTCAGGAACTGCACAGAACATCAGTTCATAGAGAGAACCTGTCACCTCCAAACTATCACATAGGAGTTTTTAATCCCTATGTGATAGGAATAAAATTAATGATAAAGTCAAACTTTTTTTAAAACCAACCCTGCTGCCACCGTCATCTGCATGCAAATAAAAAAAAAAAGCACTCTCCTTCACGCACAATGTGCATTAAAGGTGAACTATGGGGTCAGTGTTTTTCCCCATAGTTCTCTTAAGGGTCACGGGAGGACATAAACTAGCATCCTCCCGTGACCCAAAGCTCAGTATACCGTGAGCTACAGCTCTCTATATACTGAGACCGCAGCAGCCCACACGGATCCTGACATTACTGTCGAGATCCACCCAGCTGCATGATTGACAGCTGGCTCTGCCTATCTAGAGGCAGAGCCAGCTGTACCCGCCCCCTCCCCCGTTCGTTCCTCCAGTCAGTGCTGCAGGATCGGAGCGGGGAGAATCCCTGCAGGGAGCCGTGAGTGACAGTTACGGCTTTCTGCAGGGACAGGATCAAGAAGTGAGCGAGGGACGGTATGTGTTGGCTCACTTCCTGATCTATAGAGCCGACCTGTAAAAGTTTTATTGTCACACGCCGGCTCGAACTATGAGGACGAGTGAAAATCACTCATCTTATAGTCCTCTTTTAAAGAGCATGCTCACTTTCCCAAGTAATATAGGAAAATGGAATTACCCAATCAAATCTGAAACCACCCCCCCCTTCCCCCCGGCTATACCTACTTTTCGGTGAACAGTCCTTACCCTCCGCCTGTACAGTCCAGCCCTACGCTTTGAATTTTGCTGACAAATTGCACGCTGACCAATGAGAAGCACTATTTAGCACAGTCAAATACAGTTTTGATTAGGGATGCACCAATACAGAATATTTGGGCAAGTACTTCTACTCGCCCAAATGCTCCGATACCTTCCCCAATACTGGAACTTCTGGTCAGCGGAAGATTTCCTCTGACCGGCAGTGCCGTAGGGGAACATGGAGCCAGCTTCCCATGCAATCAGAAAGCGGTGCAGCAACTAATGACCCACCCCAGTTTCCTGATTGGCTGGGAAGCCGGCTTCCCGGCCAATCAGGCCATTATTCACCGCCCGGTTTCCTGATTGGCTGGCTCGATGCTGATTGGCTGGGAAGCCGGTTTCCTGGCCAATAACGATCAAGCCCGGCCGAACAACCTGGAGTCAGCTTTCCTGGCAATCAGGAAGCTGGGTAGCAGGTAATTAATTACCTGCTGCCCAGCTTCCTGGTGGCATGGAGCAGGCTTCCCGGGCAAACAGAATCATTGCTTGTGCTCAATACCCAAAAATCTATATCGGTGCATCCCTAGTTTTGATTAAAACAATTTTTTTGTATTGGGACAAGTAGATTTTCATGAGGGACAAGTAGATTCAGCCCCCGCTTTAGTCCTTGGACAAGTAGTTTTTTTTTACATTTCCACACCACTGAGAAGCATAGTTGCCAAGCATATAGCTGTCAATTCACTCTGGAAAATCAGGAGACTCACAGTTTTGAGGGTCCTCTCCCAGATCTCCTGGTGGTTAAAGTATATCTTTTGAGTCTCTGCATCCACAGCCTGCACTGGGGTAGAGGTGAATTCAGCAGATGAAGGAGTAAGTGGGCAGAGACAAACGTAGAGACACCAGAGACTCGGGCTCACCCTTGCCTGCTCTCTGCCTGTCTCTGACAAGGGGGAAGGTTGGTCAGTGACGGGGTTAGCAGGGACAGAGGGAGCAGTGGTGAATTATGCAGTGACAGGGGGTTACTGCTGGCTGGAAGAAAGGTGCATTGTCTTTGGTGTTGGAGTGCAGTGGTATGGATTCTGGATGGCAGAGAGATGAAATATCAGAGTGCAGCTTGCTGGGGGTACTGGGTTACTCACAACCCTGCTTTGAGGTTTATCTGACTGTGCCCCATCTCACAGGTTCAAGGGGGTTTAGTTAGAAGGGGTGGGATAATAGATGCTCATTACAGCTAAAACTGTTAGATGTGAGTGACACAGAGAGCAGAGGGCCATTGTATTGTGTAACACATACATTGCATTGTATCACTTCCCATCCAGTACACTGCAGGCCTTGTCCCAACTCATGTGGTATGATTGCCTGTCAACCAGTGAGTGGCAGAAGCTGTGCCCGAGACACTGGCAGAGTGACTGACCAATAGAGCCAAGCTAAGGGGGCAAGATACTGTTCATCTGTGCCCAGGACGCAGAGATAAGATTGGCGTCCTACCTGTCATACAATATTTGGGAAATAACACATATATAATTGTCTATGATTATGACTGATTTTAAATGGTCGAAAAAAACTTTCAAACAGAATTTCTGAGCATTTCCTCACCTGTCTCCCCCACTGTGCTGATCTAACCCACTCTCCCCCTACTCCACCGGCACTCCCTTCAATGTTTACCTGCAGCTGGCCTGTCCTCTCTTTCCCAC